TGGATGGGGCATACCATGGTCGTCATGATGAAGGTGATCTAGATGTCGAAAGTGCAAAGGCCCGGGTTCGACGAACGGATGGCAGAAAGGTATCGTCGGCTGGCAGGCTCCGGGGACTGTAGAAGAGGAGAGAGAGAGATGGGTCAGTAAAGGAAGCAAGTGGAGAGCATCGGTATTTTAATTGAACGGTCAAAAAAAAAAGCCCATGTCATCACCCAGCTGAGACAAGTATGGTCCGAAGAAGGGATGGATGGATGGGTTATATCATGTAGCCCAGGTAACCGCCCTCCAGATTAACCGGGGCCACCCATCCACAGGCGTGCCCTCTCACCCATCTCCCACCCCCCCCTAAGCGGCGGACGGGGATGGGAGAGGGGGTGTGGTTGATGAGGCAAATAACGAGGGTAAAGGAGATGATGAGCATACCTGCAGCTCAGAATGGGGGAGTATCCAGCGGTGAAGCCTTTGGTTTGGATTTTTTTGATGATTAAGATCGACCTTTGCAGAAAAGGAAGAAACCGAAGAAAAAGAGGGGGGGGGGGGRGGRGGAAGAGGAGGAGGAGAAGAAAAGAAGAAGGGAAGAATAGAATATGGACCTCTGCAGAATGAGGAGGACCAAGATGCAAAAAATGCAGAAGAAACGCAGGTCGAAAAGGGCTTGGTGGACGTGGGGTGGTGGAAGGAGAGATCAAAAAGGTGATGAAGGGTTGAAGGGGAAGAGGAGAGGGAGGAATGGGGGAGGGAGAGATTGGTAAGGGCGGATTAGCCGTGGGTCTCCACCAGAAGGGGGGGGGGGGCGCTGCTCCTTGGGCTGGGCTGGGCTCGGCTGGGCTTTTTTGTCTGGGCGGCCCTTTTTTTTCTTCCTTCTCTTCCTTCCTTCTCGCTGTGCCACCAATGATCTGAGCGCAGTGATATGATACAGACTAGGTACAGTTAGTACTACTACTCGTACTACTCGTGCATGCACGGTCATTGTCATCGAAGGCTACAAACCCTACTACGAGGTATTCAAGCATCCATTCACGTATTCAATGTGATTAAGAGGAAGAAAAGAAGACGGAAATGGCTTGCTGGGGGGGGGGGGGCGCCTATTGTGGTGTTGACAGTTGGTAGCGGATAGTGACGGGGCGTTATTGCGGTACCCACAGTGTATCACTGTTGGGTGGCCTCTGTATGTTGTCAGTTGTTCACGGTAATGGCATGATTGAATTTACAAGTCCATTACTCGATATGATCCAATAGGGGGTAAACCTGGTGGCCATATCCGACCGAATAGCTCAGCTTTAGAGCTCGGGTTCGCTTGTATTAGGGATATCTCTACACGTAGAACTACGGGAGAGTAATTGAATGCTACCTCTGTACTCGTACGAGCACAGAGACGCTCCAACTGGTAGAGCGGAGGGGGGTTTTTTTTTTTTCCAAAGAAAAAAAAAAAAAAGGCTGTTTGCCGCCCTGAGGTGGTCTAGGCGCCAGCAGCGCTTCCTTCCAACAGAGAGGAGTGGGACAGCCATGAGCAGACTACGGTGGCATGTACAGATTGCATGTATTGTATATATGTGTAGGCTAAGGTGATGGAGTGATGGAGTGATGGTCTTACAGTGTGGGTGGTTACCGCCACAGCGTCTACATGTGTGAGTACGCTGTCGTATCACCCGTACTGTCGTCTGTCACTCGTACTCATCCATAGACCCGGGCGGGCAGTACGGATACTATGGATGTAACATGTATTACTCGTAGTATTATGATATTAATAACGCGCAGATATCCGGAGTCAGCCTATCCGCTACGTCGTATTGCGTTGACTTACTCGTGCTGAGTAACATCCTCCTCGGCTTCTCGGCCGGGCCCAGGACGGAAGGGCCACGAATACCTCTGCTGGCCATTGTCATGGTATGAGCACGAAAAGTACGGATATTACTCCTACGAGCAGTACCCGTACAGGTCATATATGTAAATTACCACTCCCCTCTCTCCCCTCTACCGGTGGGGAGAGAATACAGGTACGAGTGTCCCCCGGTTGGGCATCATCTCAAGTTATAATGGACTCATGTCCTCAAATTGCATTATTCATGCATTGCATCACTCTGCACACGCAAAATCAAGAAGGAAAACGCTGTATTCCTCTACTCTCTCGCCCCCCCCCCCCCCCCCCCCCCCCCCCCCCCCCCCCCCCCTTCCGCCTCCCTTCTCCCGCCTCCTCTTTGGCTCTGCCTCATCGGCTTACCTCTTTGGCTCTTCCCATCACCGGTCCTAATACGACAATACGACAAGATTACTGCTCCATTTTCCTTGCCAAGAAAAAAAGAATACTTGGCGCCCTGTGTTCCTCGTCATCCGAGTCCGTACCAGATCGTCACTTTTCTTTTGGGGGGGAGTGAGGGGGGCTTATCGCGCGTTACGCCGACTTGGTCGTAATATATCCACGAAATCAATCAATTAATTAATACCTCGTGATCAGGGAAAAGGCAAATCACGACGGAACATGTCTCTTCCGTAATAGTCATCCGACATGTTGTATCCAAAGGACGCTCCTCGTCGTACTCGTATAGAATATGAGTGAAGATAATATTCCATAGAGCGGCGAAATAATAAGGCAGCAAAGATGATGGTACAAGCTCATGATGCGTTGGGTTTTGTCTATATTTTATTGTTTTTTATTGTTTTTTATTGGGGGGTTTTTTTTTTTTTTTTTTACAAGTTTCACTTTTCTCTCAGTGTTTCATCTTAACTCGGCCATTTCCGTATGATGGTGTGTTTTGTCCGCTGCCTTCTTCTCCTTCTCCTTCTTCTTCCTCCTCCTCCTCCTCCTCCTCTCTTACTCAGTCCCTCCACGTCGCTCGGTGAGGCGAAAAGGATGGTGAGGTAAGAGAGGAGGGGGGGGGGGGGCTAGGAATCTTGAATTTCTAAAGGGCCATCATGCATGTTCCGTGTGTGACGACGCTGTCCCACGCCGAGTTGCCTTTTTCGTTACTCAGCAGCAACAAGTTTGATATCATGAATCCAGCATTGATGCCGTACATGTACGGAATCTGGCTACTATCGAACGTGAATACGAACAAGATGCTACCGGGACGCGAACGAGAGAAGGACGAAGAAATCAATTCTGAAAAAGTATTAAAAAGTCCATTTCTCTCTTCCTGTGCGAGTAAAGTGCGCTCCTGGACCGTAACGCTCGTTCTAGCGCGCGTCCTGCGTCTCCCCATCAACCCTAACGGTGATGTCGAAATCGAAAGAGTCCAGAGGTCGGTCCTCTTCTCGGGAATAAGGCACCCATCAGATGCCCTCCTCTATGATAAGAAAGGAGCGGAAGGGGGGAGGGAGAGAAGGAAGAAGAGGGAGGGAAGAAGAAGGAGAGGAAAAGAAGATCGGCACCACCGACCGGCGACCGCCTTGCAGAGGCGCGTACACCGCCCCAAGTTTTGGCCAGATGTCCTCCAATCCGTAAGAAGGCACTCTTCCGATCGGATTTTGTTGGACAGGGAAAGAAAAAGAAAGCCCCCATCATCGCCATCATCGCCATCATCGCACAACATTTCTGTGCTGCACACCACATGACTTGTCAAGTGTCAAGTCTCCTCGTAAACACCGCCCACTCACCCTCACTCGCTCCCTCCCTTACTTGCTGTGATCCGAGCCGCATCTGTCCGGGTCTCGAGGTCTCGGGAGAGGTTTGAAGAGCCTGACCCGCACGGCAGAGCCTGTCTTGTCTAATTCTCTCTCTCTCTTCTCCTCTCCTTCTCCTTTACTCGGGTCGACCGGTCGCCATTGGCTGGCTCATCCACCCCTTCCTCTCGAGAGGGATTGATGCTGAAAATAGACAGAAATGTTGTCACCGCCGTCTGTCAGATCTCGCGGCCCACGATACCTGCAAGGGATGACTGAGACTTGTTTTTATATGCGTGTCACGGAGTAATACGAGTCCTGCTTGCCATCATCGATAAAGCCATATTAAATATATACTCACTCCGCACTCCATACTGTAATAATCAATCGTATGTTTGTCCTCGGCGATGTGCAGATATGTAACATGGTAACTATTGCGTGCATCTGCTACTAATATGTAAATGCAACGCCTATATATACATATATATACATATATAGATAGATAGATATATATATATCTATATAGATATAGATACAGATATAGAAGGTACATGACAGACCATGACAGACCGGTGATGTAATGTTTACGCATCTGCACTTGCACTTGACACGCTCCATCCCAAATTAGAAGACAGTCTTCGCTCTTGCCTCATATCTGAGGTGAAACAGGGCTCTCGAGAAATGATGAGTAATATAAAGCACACAAAAGAAGATGCTCCGTCGCAGAGAGTGTCCGAGTAAATCTATCGAAACGCCCTTTTATGCTTCTATGTAGCATAAATGTAACATAGAGAACATTCCCCCACCCCCTTCTCCTTCACTGTCCACCACTTCGAGGGTAATACGGCTGCTGTCCCGGCGCAGGCTGATAATACGCCGGTCGCTGCGGCAGCGACGGCTGCTGCGTGTACCCATACTTCGGCTGGTGCTGGTGCTGTTGCTGCTGCGGACGAAACTTGCTATGGTCGAGGATCTCGCCAATCTTTTCTTCGACGAGCTGATTCGTCTTGTCGAGCCATTTCATGGCCGACGAGCCGCTGAACAGCTTATTCCCGACCTTGAGACCAGCACAGCCTCCTCCACCGCCGCCGCCGCCGCCGCTGCCGCCGCCGCCGCTGCTGCTGCTGCTGCCGGCCCCGTACCCGTACGGCTGCTGCTGCTGCTGCTGCTGCTGCTGCTGCAGCTGCTGCTGGGGTTGGGGTGCGTAGTATGTCTTCGGTGGAGGCGGGTAGGCTGCCACCGGTGGGCCGGGGGTGAAGCCGAATCCGGCCACGGTCTGCACCGACGGCGGGGGAGGACGCATACCCCCGTCTGACGAGCTAGGACGCGGCGGCAGGGGTGGGGGGTGCACATACGTCGGCTGGGGCACCGGGGGCTGGTAGGGGGTGTGGGACAAGGACGACGACGACGACGACGAAGGCGGCAGCGGCGGTGGGGGGGTCGTCACATGCTGCTGGGGCGTAGACGTCGTCGTCGGCGGTGCGGACAGCGGTGCCTGCGGGAACAGCGAAGGCTTCTCGCTGCGCAGAGGCAGCATGGGTGGACCGTCGGTGTAGGCCGGCGGCGGCGACTGCGGCGAGATGTCGTACGTCGGCGACACGGGCAGCTGTCCGTACCAGCTTGCTGCCGGAGACAAGACGTGCGCGGGCGAGTATATCGGCTGCGGGGGTGCGTGGGCGGCAGCGGCGGCGGCGGGGGCAGACGTCGGCGGCGGCGGTGGTGGCGGATGCGGGTACGCGGCAAAGGGGTACGTCGACGCGTTGACGGGCGGCGGGGCCGTGGCCGGGACCACCACCTCGGCATCCTGAGACTGGTACGGACCCTGGCATACCTCCGGCAGGGCGGCCTCGCTGTTCTGCCGGGAGGAAGGCGGCCACAGGACGGTGTCGGCGGGTCCGGGCACGGGAGGTCCCGTCGTCGGTCCGGGCGGCGCCGTGGCCGGTCGAGTGGCCGGTCGCTCTGGGCCGGCATCGCCTGCCGACGTAGGAGACAGCGTCTCCGGGCACGGTTTCGCAGCAGTCACCTCCGGCTTCGTCTGGTTTGGCACCGCAGGCGGCCCAGGCGTGTGGAAGTGGTGTGGCGCAGCACCGGTCGGGTACTCGGGTTCAGCAGCGTCCTTGCCGTTGCCGTCGCCCTCTCCGTTTCCCTTCCCCTTAGCCTCCTCGCCGTCCTGGCCGCCATCCCCCGGCGGCCGGTACGGTCTGTAAGCCAGGGCAGCAGCACTCCCCCCTTGACCCGTCGTCGACGGCCGCACGGCGGCAGCGGCAGGAGCGGTATGAGCATGGTGCGTCTCGTGCTCTGCCGGCGGCGCATAAGGCTTATAGACCGGTCCGACCGGCTTGTCATGTCGGTCCTCGGCGTGATATGGCCACGGGTTCGCCCCCTTGCCAGCAGCGTCGGCGTCTGGACCTGCATCTGTCGTTGCTGACGTCGTCTTGGACCCGGGTGGCACGACGGGATCGGCTGCCATCTCGAAGATGGGCCCACCGCCGTGGGTAGCGGGAAGGACGGTCTGCGTCTGAGGCGGCGGTGCTTCGAGTTCTGCAATGAACGTCTGCTGTTGCTGCTGCGGAGGTGGTGGTGATGGTGATGGTAGCGCGTAGCCATACTGGTAATATTGACGTGCCATTTTCCCCCCCTCTCTTTCCCTTTTTTGTTTCCCCCTCTCTTTTTCCTTCCTTTTCGTTTGTGTCTGTATCTTGTCTAGAGATCTACCGCAACTTTTCTTCCTCTCTCGTCGAAATACCCGACAAGATATGTCAAGAATGGAAGAGAGAGGGTAATGGTAGACGGTCGCGTTGTTCTTGCGAACCCCCACCCCCCTTTTTTCTCTTTCCCTTCCCCAAGGGGAGGACAGACAAGGGTATGGAAATTAGAGTTGTTTTCCTTCTTCTTCTTTCCTCTTTCCTAACCCTCCCTTGATAAGACAAGATGAGAGAGGGAGAAGAAGAGAGTGAAATAGATGAGATGATGATGAAGAGAGAGGGGAAAGTAAGATATACAACATGAGATGAGAGAGGAGAAAATGTTGACTGACCAGCGGTGACGGTCAATGAGAGAAACAATGGGTTTTCCCTCCGGGGACGGAGGCGCACATGAAAGGTGGTGCTGCACTCCCGGGGGGGGTTTGGGCTTCTTTTTTCAAAAAAATAAAATAAATAAAAAACCCCGTAATAATATTAGTACATGCATCTAACCAACGAAAGGGAAGCAACTCAACGTTAATTGAAGATTGAGGGGAGGGGAACTTTGGGGTCCGGGCCCCTCTTTAAACCGCTGACACCATCGCTACAGATAAGATGGTACATGTATCATGTAATCATGTAACATCCTGATTATGTAATGATACGGCTAGTACCTGGTGTGACCACGTGCTGAGGTTTCAACCCGTTCAAAACGCGTCCCGTTCCGTCCATGTCTAGAAGGAGAAAAAAGAAGAAAGAAGAGAAGGAAGAGAAAGAAGAGAAGAGAGGAGTAACCAGCATTGAAGCGTCATGATTTCAGGGGATTTGCGAATGGGGAATCTACGGATGCCAAGAAAGAAAGAAACAAGACAGGAAGAGGAAAAGAGGTAATTAGAGTATTAATGATGAGGAGATTATATCATGAAATAGGGAAAAATACTACTATGAGATAACATGCCACATAGTTCTGTCATGAGGGAATCTCCAAAAATCACATCTAAATGACCCGAAGGGGGGGGGGGATTTGTCGCCATCACAGCCCATCTCTTGCATACACACACACACACACCCTTCTATACATCTCTCACTTCTTCATCTGTCGCTTCTTCTTCTTCATCTGTCGTTTCACCTTGTACCTTTACCTAATGTTATTTGACCTTGTTCACATCTTCCCAATCGTTTCGCTCACATCCCTCCCTGCCCACGACTGACACCAGGGCAGGGGAAAGAATGGTGTAAGCATGCAGAGAAGAGTTTTATGTAAAACAAAAATATATAGATATGAAAATACAAAAGAAAGAAGAGGAAGAAATTATAGACAGAGCATGAAAAAAAGAATCGATATGAAATGAAGTAGGGAAGCAGGAGAATAGACGGGGATGATAACCAAAAAAAGAACAAAATTTTGAAAATGAAAAAAAAAAAAAATTTTGAAAGAAAAAAACCAAAACTCTTGCTGGATAAGGTATACACCGTAATCCTGGCAAGAACTTTGAAAGACGTAGCATGCCGTCGCAGAATGGTATCATAGAAACTAAGTACGAAGAGGAAGAGGGGGAGGGGGAGTAGACAGAAACGATCAAGGCGAGGGGAGGGAGGGGGGGTGATGAGAAATAATATCCAAAGCAGATGTTGACAAAAAAAATAAATCAAGAAAAGAAACCAAGAAAGAGAAAAGGGAAAGAAGTAGAAGAAGCAGCAGCAGAAAGAGAGACAAGGGGAGAAGGAAATTGGAAAACAAGACAACTCTTGTTGCAATCACTCATCATCGCCACGAGAACGCTTCATCTCGTTCCACCGCCTCTTGCCAGCCCTCATCTCAAAGTGCGGTGCCACCTCGCGCACGTCGGCCTGGGCATTCTCGATGGCGGTACAAGTCTTGTCGCGGTAACAGTCCACTTTTTTTCAACGAGACAAGTCAGTGATCTTTCCTCTCTCTCTCCCTCTCTCTCCCTCTCTCTCTCTAGAGACAGCTGCTGCGGCCATAGTCATGCGCTACCGTCAGGCCATTCGGGGAGGGGGAAGACTCACGAGCTCGCTGCAGAAAGACGTTCCGTCCATTAAACGTCCTGGCCTGGAGCCACTTCATCCGATACCCTAGATCGTTCATCTTGAACTCCCTGCTCCTCCGAGCCCTCGTCATCTGCGGGATGGCAACCTTGTCCCTGACGCCCGAGACGCTGACCATGGCCGCCGCCGCCCGACGACCGGCGCCGCCCCTTCCGGATCTCCCGCGGCGTCTCCCCTCGGTCTCCTGGGCGCCGCCGCCGCCGCCGCCGTCGACGTCGACGTCGTCGGTAAAGAATCTCGCCCCCGTGACGCCCGCGGGCTCGCTGATCATCTCCCGCGGGAAGAAGCTCCGGGGGTAGACGCTCGCGTCCCTCTTGAACCCGTCCGGCATGCCCTCGGTATCCTGGTACTGCAGCGTGGCCCTCACCCTGAGACGGCGCTTGCTGTCCGGCTCCTCGACAAGGATGAACTTGCGCTTCCTGGCGGCGGGTACGTTGGGGAACAGGCCGTCAACGTCACCGTCCTCGACTTCCTCGTCATCCACCGCACCGGCGGCACCTGCTCGCCGATGCTTGTCCTTCCTCGCGCCTGCGCCGACGGCTGCGGCTGCGGCTGCGGTCGCGGCCGCGTATGCCGGGGTGGCTCCTCCGTAGTGTGGAGGCGCGTGATGCATCGGCGGTGGCGCTCCCGGTGCCCCCGCATGGTGATGATATCCCTGGTGGGAACCGGGCATGGGTGGGGCCGGGTACCCCGTAAAGACTTGGGTATGTCTCACGTCTTCGGCCGGGGTGCTGTCGTACGCGTGGGACGGACCTGAGTCAAGACAGACGAACGTTATTATTAGCCCTGTCTTGTAAAGGTACTTTTCAGATCTCGACCTCGGAAGCAAGGGTAAGGAGACGTGAAGAACAAGGGTAACAAAAGCATGCGTAGCGGAAGAGAGAGAAGGAAATTCGAGAAGAGTGCTCTTCTTTTCTTTTTTCCTTTTTTTTTAAAAAAAAAAGAAGAAGAAAAGGAAAAGCAATAGACGAGTATAAAAGATCTTGTACATTCAAAAACGAGACAAACTTGTTCTTCTTCTTTCTCCTGTCTTGTGACTTGTGCTTTACTCTTTCTTCTTCTCTTTAACGAAACACTCCCCCCCAACAACTTCAATATCAAATGTATATCGAAGAGAGAGAGAGAGAGGGAAGAGGGAAAACTTTCCCTCGCCACCCCCGAATTAAGATTCTCTTTTCCAAACCAATAGCAAACGTGACACTGTAACAAAAACCAAGAACTGGGGGGACAAAGGAAACCAGATGGAAAAGACCAAGTACATAAGGAGGCCGTGTGTGGCATGTGTAACTGTACATCCGTGCCACACACTACCAGGGCCTTTCATCGGCGCAGCCTATGCGCTTTTGAATGAATTATTTGGAGATGGAATCAGGTCCTGTCCTTCTATAATGGACATGTCCCAACATTGGGAAAAGTAAAGAGTTCGAAATGACAAGATTCATTTCCAACATGTATGAGAAAGAAAAGAAGCCTAATCGACACAAAACAGGGGGGGGGGGGGCTAAAAAGATCGGTTTGGATGAGAAGTAAATAGCAGAGATGAGGAAAAGAAAAGAAAAAATCGGTTTAATAAAGATGATGACAAGTGGTGTAAAAAAAAAAAAAGAAAGAAAAGGTATCGTTGAAGAGCATTCCTCCGCAAAGGGTAGCAGAAAAATAACAGACGTGGTATCAATGAACAGGACACAAGACAATGCCATGTAGGTTTAATGAGGTTGTAGGGGTTCGCAGCTTTGATACATGGGATGTGACGAGAAGTGAAGAATAAACAATAAGATGAGGCGGGGTGATGGGGTTTTAAGATGGGGGAGTATAAGAATAGTAAAATAAAATTCAAGAAGAAAAAAAAAGAGAACACGCAGCAAAACACAAATTTCCGTCACATCTGATGGTGAAACATACCGACTTCGTCACCCGGAGCTTGACCCGTATGGTCCTGATGAGCACCAGGGTGGTGGCTGTGGAGGGCCTGACCCATGCCCGCCAGCCCCGGCTTGCCCATGTGCGGGCCGGGGCCACCCATGTGTCCGGGCACGGGTGGCAGTCCGGACTGAGCCGTTCCGGGAACGGGCATCGGAGGTCCGGCGAGGGAGCCCGGGTGAGGCGACGACTGGACCGACTTTCGGGTGTTGATCTTGGCCATGCGGCGGACGCGGCGGCTGCGGAGCCTGGGGTCCGAGTTGCTGTTGCGCCAGCTGTCGACGGCCCTCTGGATCAGGCCGCGCTTGCCTCGCAGCGGGATGTTGAGGTGCGCCAGGGCCCAGCCGACGCGGTTGCAGTCCGTCTCGTACATGAGCCGGTTGCCGCGGTACTGGTCCTTGGGGCAGCACGCCCGCGGGTACACGCAGTTCTCCTGCTTGAACTCGGACGTGAGCTCGTCCGTGTTGACCGACTCGACGTCGCACCTGATGGTGTACTCCATCTTGACCCTGTCCCTCGAGTACTCAAAGGCGATCCACTGCACGCCGTTGCCGTCCTGCCTCACCACGGGAGGGGTCGTGGCCGGGATGGGACCGGGTGCCGCGTTGGGGTTCACAACCGGGCCCGGGTTCCCGGGGCTCTGCAGCTGGCCGCCGTTGGCGGCGTGGTGGGCCGGGGGCATGGGCGACGACTGAGGCTTGTGGAGCTGCAGGGGCAGCTGGGGCTCCAGCTTGGGCCGCGGGCTGTTGCTCATGGGAGGCTGCGCATGCTGGGGAGCGTGCTGCTGGGCCATGGGGTTGTGCGGTGCCGGGTGGGACATCATCATGCTCGGCTGCGATGTCATGGGCGGCTGAGGGTGGTGCTGAGGGTGATGCTGAGGGTGGTGCTGGGGGTGCTGGTGGTGCGGCGCATGTTGCGGGTACGGAGAGCCTGTCGTCTGCGGCGGCATCGACTGGTACTGAGGCTGGGGAGGGTAGTAGAGGGATTGCGCCATGTGCTGGGGGGGCGGAGGCTGTCCATAGATGCTCCGGTGCTGGTCATGTTGCGACGGCGAGGCGACCGAGGCCGGCGAGTTGGACTGGGGAGTATGATAGGACATGGGAGGGTAGGGGGGGCGCGGCATTTGGGCGGCGGCCATCATCTCGGAGGTGTCTGCACAGAGAGGGGGAAGATCCGGATGTCAGTCGAGGAATGATGTTCAGAGAGAAGCCATGTCGTATGGCCAACGTCGTGGCGACCGGCAATGCCGCGAGGCGCGCTCTCCGGTCAGGAGCGGGTGTCCCCGGGGGTGCGCCGCGAGGGCGGGGGGGAGGGGGGAGGAGAGAAGGAGGACCAACCTGCGGATGCGTATCCGCCGTTTGCACTCGCCGTGCTGTAGGGGCTCGGATGATTATAGTAGGGGATGGCCTCTGGCGGACCAGAGTGCTGGCCACCGGACTGGTAGTGCTGAGCGAGAGAGTGGCCAGAGTACGCGCCCTGGTGATGCTGCTGATGCTGCTGGTGCTGCTGGTGCTGCTGGTGCTGCTGGTGCTGCTGCTGGTGCTGCTGCTGCTGCGGCGGCGGCGGCGGTTGCGACGGCGGTGGATGGGCCTGAGGGTGGTGATGTTGGTTGACCACGCTCGACGGTCGCGAGTGGTGTGACTGATGTTGAGTCGGATGCTGCATGGAGAGGATCCCCATTAGTAACCTATCGACCTAGCACGATGACTCTATAGATGGCCAAGGAGAGATGCAGAACAACAGGACGCGATGGTGTTTTTAATGCCCCCTTGACAGTGGCAGGGTATGGGAAGCTTGTAGTGGAGTAAGCATCCCCTAGTTGCTGACTAGGATTGCGCGGGTGAGGCGGCCTAGGTCCAGAACAGCCAGACTGAGAGGAACCAAAACTGCCACTCGCGTGTGCAGGTGGGACTATGCCTCAGTATGGGAGAGCGAGAGCAAACGGGGGGGAAAGGGGATGGGGGGAGA